AAAAATTCTTTATAATTTCCCCATACACTTATTCTACCTGTATGATACTCTGCTTGATGATGTCATAATCTACCTCATCTTCCTTACTAGACATTTCAGTTTCCATTATCTAAATTCTCTACAAAGCAACACATCAACAAATACTCAGAAATACCAGCTCCTTTATTCTCACTACCACTCTATAAAATGAAACCCTGCCCACCACTGATTTGCACAACAGCAATAATTCCATGACCTGCCTCCTGATAATTCATGTCCCACCTGCTTGAGAATAAGGTTAAGCCTATCATTACTGTTTAACTATATAACTATATTTCTTAACTATAACAATAAGTCATTAGGACCCACAACTGGCCAACAAGCAGAGAATAAGCTTCAGAGTGCTGCTTATACCTGAGTAGGACACCTATGTCAAACTTCTAAGGCTCAGGATTACTGCAGAAGAGGAGGGTAGAAAAATTGTAAGAGCCAGAGGTGGTACATGACCACAAGGAAACAGAGTATTCCAGACAGCTGGTGAGTTACTCATATGAACTCACAACAGTGGTGACAGCTGAAGCCAGACAAAATGCCAGAACAGACATGGGGAGGTGGGTAAAAAACCCCAACCCTACCTGAGGAACTATTGCCAACTAACACCTGCTGGGAAGGGGAGGGTCAGTCTTGTTTAAGAAAATGAGTCTTGGTAGGTTGATCAGGCTCCAGTGGATGGACCCACACCAAAGGGTATTTGGGGATGCAAGTTTGACTCTATATGCCTTAATAGACATGTGTGTATACACACACACACACACACACACACACACACACAAAAAAAGATACAGTACATGAAATTGGGCACGGATAGTGGGGGGTTCAGATGATAGAGGGAGTTAAAATATATTGTATGATATTTGCAGAAATTAAATTTTATAAAAAGAAAAAAAACCTCTTGACTGCCTACTATAGGATACTATGCAAACCCTAAGTTAGCATGTAAGTGCCTTTGAATTTAAGCCTATCTCTCACCACACCCACTCTTTAACTAATGATACCAGACCACTAGTAGCCATTTTAATTTCACTTTTGTCACAATAAGCTTCTCACCACTTCGCAAACACTCCAAGCCCTTACCTGATTCTTTTCCCTTTGCACTTGCTCTCTGGTGCCTGGGCTCAGGTAAATGCAGCTCAAATGTCATTGCTGAGTATAGCTAGCCCTGTTTACCAACTAGGCTAATTGATGCTCTAGCCTCACCACAAGCTGCTCACATCTGTGTAACAGCATTCACCATCCTGTTATTTATTTTGTACATCTATGTATCATTTACATATTTTCTGTATCTGAGAGAGGCTTCTAGAAAGCAGGGATCATTATATTTACACCTTACGGCATAGCATATTACATATGTACATGTTAAGGGCTGCAGAGTTGATTACTAAATAAACAGATGAATGTTCAATTTTTACATACTAGTTTTTAACAGTTTGGGGGGAAACATATATGTGTCCATACGGATATGTACACTTGCATGCACAGACCAGATGTTGACTCTGTGTGCCTTCCTCAATCACTACCCACCTTATTTTTTGAGACAGAGTCTCTCATTGTACCTGGAGCTCAAACTAGGCTGGCTGGCCGAGGATCTCCAGGATCCACCTGTCTCTGCACTCCCAGCTCTGGGGTTACAGAAGTATACTGAAGCTATTACATGGGTACTAGGGACCCAAACTCAGGTCCTCATGCTTGTGCAGTGGGCACTTTACTGACTGAACCACCTCCCTAGCCCCAACTAATTGATTTCTAAAGCTTCCGTTCTGAATACCACGTAAGTCTTCCAGAACAGGAATATTACACCCTCCTAATTCAATTTACCACAACTGGCCATCCTACCTTCTGTATTATAGTAGAGGAAATATGTTTTCTAATTTAAGACTTGGTTACAACAAACTTTATTCAGAGTTGAGGAAGTAGCTCTGTGATAGAGTACTTGTCTAGCTAGCATATGTGAGGCTCTGGTTTTAATCCTTGGCACCACAAAAATGCATTATTTAAATAACAAATTAATTTTATTTAAATTCATTTTATGACTAGTTGGTTTGAGGGGAGTTGTGAGTTTGTTTCATTTTATATTCCTGTAATATATTTCAACAGTTATGTACCTGGTGAAAGAACAATATGATACCAATAGTGGATATTAGATCATAAAGTTGAAAAACAACTATTTCAAATGGATAAATAAAACAATGGAAACTCATAAGCCCATAACTTTAAGCATAGCTCTGCCTTAGATGTACTTGTAGGCCCGGGTACTCAAAAATTGGCCTAAATTCATCATTAGCTATGTCCAAAATAAAAATATTCTTCATAATCACTCATTCTTGATAAATCCTTTGACCTTGGCAGGAAGTTAGTGTTTGATGTTAGAGGAGACTACAACTTAACAGTTAAATGACTCACCGAAATCATAAAATGAAGTAAAGCTAGATTAAAATTCTGAAATCCCAGCCGGGCATGGTGGCACACGCCTTTAATCCCAGCACTCCACTCCGGAGGCAGAGGCAGAGGCAGAGGCAGGTGGATCTCTGTGAGTTCAAGCCCAGCCTGGTCTACATAGTGCGTTCCAGGACAACTAGGGCTACAGAGACCCTGTCTCAAAAAGACAAACAAACAAAAATAAATCTGAAATCCCTAGCTCTCACATTCACTTTATCTGACCCCTTGGCCATTTACATATAAGTCAGAAATATCTCCAACTAATAAAAAAGTATTTTGAAAAGTAGGAAGACAATCTGAGTAACTATCAGGCCATGCAATAATCAAATCGAGTACACATGAAAAAAAGAAGACACGACAGGGGCTGTGGCAACAGCTCAATTGGTAAAGTGCTTCCTGTGCAAGCCTGGGGACCTGAGTACCCAATGTCAAATGCCAGAAGCCAGCAGCAGATACCTGTAATCCCAGCACTAGAGAGGTTGAGACAGGAGGATCCCTGGGGGTCACTGGCCAGTTAGTCTAGCCTAATCAGGGAGCCCCAGGTCCCAGTGAGAGCTGCTGTCTCAAAAAAACAAGGTGGATGGCTGCTGAGTATGGACGACAGAGGTGACCTCTGGTTTCCACATGTGTATGAGCATAACACAAAATAAGTCGGGGGTGGGGGAAAAGCTGGAGTCGTGGTTCAACAGTTAAGAACACTGGCTGCTCTAGCAGAGGATCTGGGCTTTGGTTCCCAGCTCCCACATGGTGGCTAACAACCATCTGTAACTCCAGTTCCAGGGGAATCCGACACCCTCGGGCATTGTATGACACAGGTGCAATTACATACATGCCAGCAAAACACTCACACACATAAAATAAAATAATAAATAAAACTTAAAGAAATAGAGTGATATTTAGTAAAAACTGAAAATCTGCTTTTCCTTACCTCCTTCATTCTGCAGCAAAAGTTAATGTTTCAATTTTTCATGCTATACAAAAAGTTTTAAACTAAAAGTTTTATACCATTCATCAGAACTTCAGCTTTAAGGTATTAAAACTGAAAAATAGGAAAAGCTGTATCTTTGGCTGAGGCTTAAAGTACTCAAAGTATATCTGTCACTGATACATATGGTCTGACTTCTAGTTGAATAGCCCAGTTAAAAGAACTTGAGTGGCTCTTGCTCACATTTATATACTCTATGTGTACTGTGTCTCTTATGAAACTCACTAATATGGTCTTTTTTATGTTTCTCTGTGGACCCTAGAAGTGGGGTAAGCCCTTCTCAAGGTGATTAGCTACCACAGGAGTCAGCAAAACATAAGCAAGCCACACATACAACCAGCCTTGATAAAGAGCTACAAATGCTGAGCCAAGAATTCACATACCGTGCACCTTGCCAAACAACATATTTCTGCAAGTTGTATAAAAGGTATTTTGTTCCATCAAATTCTATTTTAAATGTATTGTGGACAGTAAAAATGACTTGAAACGTGAACAACTTTTAAAAAAAGTTTACAGGTGCACCTTTTTATGGATTACACATATGTATGCTTTCTCAGGAACCTTTCTAGAAGGCGCCCCCGGCAGCTCTGCAGGTAAAAAAATGAATCTCGGTGTGTCCTCCCGCACACCCTACTAGATGGGCACGAATTCCACTCCTGCTTTACGGGCTAGGAGCTGGGGTCAGTGGCATGAAGTACTTAACCCGGGACCTACTATACAGGCTAAACACTGCATAAATAAACTATCCTGCTCTCCGCTTTGCTGAGGAGCTGACCAGGGGCTCAGTGTCGTCTTTCCTGTCTTTTGCTCATCTTGGAATGGTAAAGACAAGTAATTAAAACAGCATACTGATGGGGGTGGGGGGTGGGACAACTGTTGTAATTCCTTGTTCTCTCACCACTAAAAAACACAAACACCCAGTCACTGCGCATCTTCCAAAAGGACTAGGAGGCTGGGATTCTAGGGGTGCTGGGGCGCTGGGATACTGGATGCTGGAGATGCTGGGGGTGCTGGGATGCGGGGGTGCTGGGGGTGCTGGGGATGCGGGGGTCCTGGGATAGGGCCTTTCCCAGCAGCCCATTGATTAGTTCTCCGTCTAGAACCAGCCTCCACTGGGTCTGCTCTCAATCAAGACTTCGGGAACCTGGGAGGGACTTCAGAACTTGGCGGTCCAGTTCCCGGCGATCACTTCCTCCCTGGAGTGGACACCGGGAGCGCCGGCCAAGGAGGCCCACCCAGGCCCGGCCACAGTCTTCTCACTCCCCAGCACAAGCCCCAGCCTCAGAGCTCTGGGCCCCGCCATGGCGACCATCTCTCTCCCGTTGACCCAACTTTCCCAAGGACTTTCCAGGCCGCGCGCCAGGCCTGGCTTTCGCTCTGCAGCGGAATCCGGGACCCCGCAGGGGCGCGCGTCACACAGGCCCGAGCGCGGGTCCGGGGCCTGCGGGCGACGCCCCTCCCCGGGGAAGTCCGTGCAAAATTCCACACAGAACCTGACAGGAGGGGCGGGATGGGAGGATGGGAAAAAAAGAGAGACAACCTGCGCCCCCACAAGCCAGCCGTCCACTCGGCCGCCGCCGCCCCGTAGCTTCAGCCAACGGTTTCAAATCCTTGCGGGCCGATCGGTCGCCACCGCCCAGCAAACCAGGGGCGGAACTATCGCACTCGCATTGCCCCACCCCCTCCAGCTGAGGCTAGCACGCAATGCCGTTGCCTTGGCGACGCCCCCGGTTGCGTCTATCACCGTCCCTCAGCTTTAGGACAGGCATTTCCGCCCTCGCGTGACGGCCCACCAAGCGGCGCCGTTGCCATGCCGACGCGGAAAGCCGGACTACTTGGGCCTTGCAGGCTGGGGGCGGAGACTTCCGGCCTTCCATTTCCCCGCCCTCCGGGAGAGGGCGTGCTGGCAGATCCGTCGCCGTAGTAACGTTGCAGTCCACTGCGCAGCCCGCAAGCCCGCGGTCTTGGCAGGCGGCTCCTGGTGGTTTCCAGGCCTAGCCTTCCATGTTAGTGTTACCTGGGCTGCAACCTGGACCCTGCGACTTCCAGGCTTCCTACAGCTCAGACTTAGCTTGTGAGTATGTCAAAGACTGCGAAGAAAGAACAAGTAAAACTCAAGGAAAATGGAGCTTCTGGACAGTGTTCACCAAAAAGTGTGTATATTGTTTGGATAGACAGCACAGGTGAATGAGACCCGTTAGCTCACACACAGTCGAATGAGGGTAAATTGTGCGAGAGAATGAACAATTATCTTTTGTTTTCTTTTTTATTATTTTATGTGTATGAGTATATTGCCAGCATGTATGTAAGTGCAGCCATGTCATGCAATGCCCGTGGAAGTGACAAGAGGACTTCGGATCCCCTGGAATTGGAGTTACAGATGGTTAGTCACCATGTGGGTGCAGGGATTCGAACCTGGGTCCTCTGCAAGAGCAGCCAGTTGCCCTTAACTGCAGAGCCATCTCTCCAGCCCGATTTATTTTCTTTCTTTCTTATTAGAACTAAGAGCAGTCTGAAAATACCCAGAAATATCCTGAAATAAAAGAAGGCTTTGTGTTTGCCACGTCTATAAAGAACAGTAACATCAAGTGGAAAAATGTATCTTTGCTCTTCCCAGAAAATCTCGTGGGCCTCAGGCAGTAGTCCACATTGCTAGGCTGTGTTCTTTGATCTTTTGCTTTTCTGGAAAGTCTGAACTATGTGCTTTAAGATACCAGGCAGAAACAAAATTTAAATTGTAAAAACAACTCAGGGCAGGAACCTGGAGGCAGGAGCTGAAGCACAGGCCATGGAGGACTGCTGCTCACTGACTTGCTCCCCTGGCCCCTGCTCAACCTGCTTTCCTATACAACATAGGCATACCTGTCCTGTCCGGGGGTGGCACAACCCACAGTGGGCTGGGCCCTCCCACATCATTCAACAATCAAGAAGATATCCCATGGACATGGCCACAGGCCAGTTCAATGAAGGAAATTCCTCAATCGAGGCTCCCTCAACCCAGGTATGTGAAGTTGACACTAAAGCTATCCAGCACAGGCACTGACAAATCAGTATTACATAATGGATCTTTTACAATATTGTCCAAGAGTACTGTCTTTTTATATTCTTAGAAATAAAAATGAATGAATGAGGTCATTAGGTTGTATATTTTTAGTGTATTACCATTAGCAAATAATAGCTGTGCATATTTTTGTTCAAGGAGGGCATTGTCAAAGCCTAGAAGATTCTGGATTGAAAGAGTTTTATGTGTATGAGTGTCATGCCTGTATGTTTGTAAGTGCATCTAAGCCATGCAGTGCCCAAGGAGGACAGAAAAGGGCATTGGATTGCCTGGACTAGAATTACAGACAGTTGTTATCCACCATGTGGGTGCAGGGATTCGAACCTGGGTCCTCTGCAAGAGCAGCCAGTTGCCCTTAACTGCAGAGCCATCTCTCCAGCCCGATTTATTTTCTTTCTTTCTTATTAGAACTAAGAGCAGTCTGAAAATACCCAGAAATATCCTGAAATAAAAGAAGGCTTTGTGTTTGCCACGTCTATAAAGAACAGTAACATCAAGTGGAAAAATGTATCTTTGCTCTTCCCAGAAAATCTCGTGGGCCTCAGGCAGTAGTCCACATTGCTAGGCTGTGTTCTTTGATCTTTTGCTTTTCTGGAAAGTCTGAACTATGTGCTTTAAGATACCAGGCAGAAACAAAATTTAAATTGTAAAAACACTCCCGTAAATGAAATTTAGTTTACTACTCTTTTTCATCTGAGTTCACAACATAATTTCTTCTACAGAATCTTCATGGTGAGTTCAATGCAATGCCAAACCTAACATTAAGCACAACTTGAAACATCTTTTGAATTTTCCATAAGAAAAATAAAAGTCACCCATTTGTAACTAGTCATTTTCAGGCTTCCAAAAGGAAGTCATATTCTTTTCAAAGTGCACTTTTCAAATCCACCTCACTGGAAGTAAACACCAGTAGTTCATCGTTTTAGGGACAAATTGTGGTAGGGGAAAGAAAGGGTACAAAATGCTTTTAAGAATATTTGGTTTCTGGGCTGAAGAGATGGCTCAGCAGTCAAGAGCCCTGGCAGTTCTTGCAGAGGACCCAGGTTCAAGGATCCCAGGCACCTGCATGGTGGCTAACAACTGTAATGCCAGTTCCAGGGATCAGAAGCCCTCTTCTGACCTCTGCAGGCACTGCACGACACAAGTGCACTTATACACATGCAAAGCAATACACTCATACACATAAAATAAAAATAACAAATAAAGAATACTTGGTTCCAAAAGCATATTTGGACACACTTATACCTAAGAAATGATCCACTGGCCAGATCATTTGTATTGAGAATCAGATTGCAAAACCCAGGTTTGCAATAATAGCAGGAATCTGACTAGTCAGTGAAGACATTCAAGGAACAAAAGAGGTAGACTTTATTGATTAAAAAAGCACAAATTTCCAAGAAGTAATAAATTCAACAGGACAACATGGTGACTGTTTAATAACTATATAGTGGATTCTTGAAAATCCCCACACACACAGTTTTTAAAAGGAGGAGGAAGATCAAAGGAAAAATGCAATTGTAGAGGAAATAAGGAAAGGAATTTTCTTAATATCTACCCTCAAATACTTCCAAAAATAATTCTTTTGAAAAATATTAACTAAGACTCAAAATTATTCACACTTTCCTTTCTACAATATTTAGAGTCAATGTTTCAAGACCTTCACTATGAATTTGTCTAGTAATTTGAAGGACTGTGTGATAAACACACTGAAAAGTACAAGTCACAGAACAGAGTCACAATTATATATCTATCTACTCTTTATGAATAATAATCATGAATTATAAGCAAATGAAGCGTTTTCTTCCTAAACTAAGATTTTTGAATTGAATTTTTTTCACATTTTAAGTTTTCATTCTATTGTAGGTAAATTGGAAAATGCTGAAAAGTTTAAAGAGGAAATATATAATATTTCTAATACATAATAACCTATATGTCTACCATTACAAATAACCAATATTGGGCTAGAGAAATGACTCAGCAGTTAAGAGCACTGACTGCACTTACAGAGGACCCGGGTTTAAATTCCAGCACCCACATGGTGGCTAACAACTGTCCATAACTCCAGTTCTAGGGGATCTGATGCCCTATTCTGTCCTCCACAAGCACTGCACATCATGGGTGCACTTACATTCATGCAGGCATAACACTCATACACATAAAATAAAAAGAAATAAATCAAAAAAAATAAATAACTAGCATTAACACATATATTCAATCGTTTTATCCATATATTATACTATCACCATTTTTAACATGAACTTACTACTCCACCAGATGGATATAACCCAATTTGCTTAATTTTTCTCCCGTGGTTACTAATTTTGGGTCTCATAATAATGTTGCGATAATGGTCTTTATTGAAGTCCCAGTTATCTCCATATAAGAGATTTATTTTGTGCATGTGTGTGTATGTCTAAGTATGAGTTTGTATATACATGCCGAAGTTCAACATTATTGCCTTCCTTGATGCCCTTCACCTTAGTTGAGAGACAGGGTCTCTGAGTCTGGAGCTCAAAGATTTGGCTAAAGAGGCTGGAGAGATGGGATGGCTCAGCAGTTAAGAACACTGGCTGTTCTTGCAGAAGACCTGGGTTCAAATCCCAGCACCCACATGGCAGCTAACAACTCTCCATAACTCCAGTCCCAGGGGATCCAACAGCCTCTTCTGACCTCTGCGGGCACTGCATGACACGGGCACACTTACCTATATGCAGGCAACACACGCATACACATAAAAATAATAATTTTTTTTTAAGTTTAAAAAAAAAAAGATTTGGCTAGGATGTCTGACAAACCAGCCTCAGGGCTCCTCCTATCCCCACCCCCTCAATACTGAAGTTACGGGTGCATGCTGCTGTGCCTGGCACATGTGGGTGCCGGGCCTAAAACTCAGATCCTCATGCTTGAACAGCAAGCACTTTTTTGACTGAGCCATCTTTCCAGCACATGTAAGAACATTTCAATGGGCATAAAATGCACTAGGGTTTTTTTTGCCAAATTACTCTCTAAAATTATTTTGTAAACCTGCAACCCACACAACAGTCTAGGAGAGTCTCAGATTCACAATAACAACTTTTTGGATCTGTGTAAATTGTAACTTTTTAAAAAAAAATAGTATCTCTTTTTTTGGCATTTTCTACTACTAGAAAGTTTAATATTTTTCTTAGCTCTTTTATTCCACAATAGAATCTCTTTTGTTCTTTGCCTGTTTTTTTTTTTTTGAGGAATTTGACATGAGAAAAATTAATAAGATTGTCCATATTTAATTGTTTGTCTCTGTACACAGTAATTTTTCATAAAGCTGGTGTTATCAATTGATACAAATTTCAATCATGATTCACTATTTCTTTTTTAATTTTTAAATGGCATTTATTTATTTTTGTATGTGGGGATGCATAGTCCTGTCATAGAGAAAGGGCTTCGATGAGGGAGCGAGGAGAGAGAGAGAGAGAGAGAGAGAGAGAGAGAGAGAGAGAGAGAGAGAGAGAGAGAGAGAACGAACAACTTGTGAGAGTTGGTTCTCTCTTTCTACCATGTGGGTCCCAGGGATCAAACTCAGGTCATTGAGTTTGGCAGCAATCACCTTTACCCACTGAGTCATCTTGCTTGCCCCA